GAGAGAGAGAGAGAGAGAGGGAGCCGTACTCGGGGCTCAGAGCTTAACGAATGGACGTTTCGGAGGCAGTGATTCCTGAACACCGCCCCCGATCCATACTAAGAGCCCTTTGTCAGGACCTTTGTCAGTTCTCAGCTATCTAATATGATCATCCAGAATACCAGGATCCATCCATGTTTTAAGGACTTCTGAAGAGGTAGCTGTAACTGTAGCATCACGGGCTTCTCTTACGCTCAGGTTTTTGCCTGCCTGGAGTTCGGGATTCTGGTTGAGGGCAGCCGACTGGGCTCTTCTTAAGGGGTCCCCCCCATCTACCAATCCGTGTAGAGTTATGCAAAACCTTACAAACCTCCTGATCTAAAGCCCTAAAGAACCTCTTCAACCCTCATAGCACCCAAGCTCCTGAAGCCAACCGAGGCCGGGCAGTTCTCCGAAGGGAGGCACTGGACTAACCGTCGTTGTTGAAGGGGTTTAAGTTGTCCAGAGGGTTGGCGCATGAGCGAGAATGCGACGAGCACACAGGTTGACAGGCAGGTGCTGCATTGCCAGCACGTGCAATGCAAAGCGATGTTCATGTGCATGTCACGAAATCAACCCAGCTCGGAAACACAGCTTGCACAAAGTACTTCAACAAGTTCTTCATGGACGATCTCGGGCTTTTGGCTTATGGAAAGCTTCTTGCAACTGGGTGTCCCGACAAGGGAGTCAGGATCCTACTCTGTAGGGTCTGCCTCAGGCCTTAGGGTCCCCACAGTTCCGTAGCGATTCTTTTTTGGTAGACGCCTCCGTAGGCTGCAGAATGCGGGATGTCACGAAGCCTTGGCCCAGTGTTGCCGAGTGCAGGTCGCCCCGGCCACCGTTTTGGCACACTGAACTTTTTCCTCCGAGCCCGCACCACCCTCGCTGCGGACTGTCACGGGTTCCTCGTTCTACCCTCCTCACTGCTGTTACTACTGCTATTGTCTACCCCTTCTGTTCCATGCCTGCTGCTGCCACTGCCGTTTATGATTCCTGTACCACTTTTTAACTCGTCTACCACCATTACCACCACCTGGACGACGACGACGGCACCACGACAAGCCGCGGCACTAGCACGAGAACTGTCATTATCACCTGTTCCCCAGTTGGATGACGATACCGCAACGTTTTCCAATCATGTCATCAATTTTTTTCCATGGTCAAAGGGGTGTAGAACTAGCTTGCCTACTACGGTTGAGGTGACCCGTCCAGTTCCACCTGTAGAACGGTCTGCTCGACCAAGCCAAGCGTCGCAAAGTCCTACCTGAATTCAGTGGAGTCAACGAATGAAGATGTACCAAGATTGCCACAGAAATTCCGCGGCCATTAAGTGGCAGCTGATTGCTTCAGAGGCAAGCAACACAGCCGTTTGCGGGTGAGGATCGTTTCGTTTAATATGAGGGCAGGCTGGCGTCAGCACGATTTCGTTCCCGCTGCAGGAAGATAGACTATAACTGCTGCAGATTGTAAAGATGGTGCTAGCCCCTCACCTTTGAAAATCATTTTCCTCGCGGATTTTCACTTGACAGCAGAACAAGATCTTCTGGGTTGCAATGTCGCAACGGATGTAAGATGTCAACACTCTAAGGCATCTACTTGCACCCGCAGCATCAGATGTGTTGCCATGCATGCTGGCTTTGCAAACTTCCTGGCAAACTGTCTTATGTTGAGCACACCCCAGGTGCACCCAGCCACTCAGGCTGGCCCCTTGTTCTGCTGACAAGCTTCACACCACACAGGCCCAGAATGTACAGTGAAAAGCGGGTCCCCTGTGGGTGCGTAGACGTCAGGATGCAGACATTCAGGCCAACCAGGACGCGGAACTTGGGCGAGATGGGGCAGGTCAGTCTCGTCAAGGCCCACACTAACAGTTCAGATAAAATGTGGATGTCGGCCCCTAAACCTTGAACCCTGGTGCTACAGCTTCATGCATGCCCGTCTGGATAGCCGTTGAAGTATCACCCCTATTCTCGGACAAAATGCCTCGCCTGGATTGTTCGAATGTGAGCACCGAAAAAACCCTGAACCCGAAGGTTACAAGAAATGTGGGTGTCACCCCACCTGCCCCACCAAGCCTTCTCTTCCCTGCACAGAACTCCAACTCAGAGTTGTCCGGTACTTACCCACGATTTTCGTACCGGCCAGGCTCTCGCAGCTGCAAAGCATACCTTTTTCAATTTCGGGAGCCTCGATGAGTTGCACACCTTCCAGCACTTGGGGGCGTTAAGGCTTCATTCTTACCCAAAAGAAGTGCCTGTTGGGGCTTCGGGATCTCCTAGACAGGAGGAAACAGAATCTTTTGCAGTTCTGTAACACATTCCGAACCACGAGGCTGGTACTTGGGAAATGCCAAGTGGAGGACCCAGACATGCGGGCACCAGGCCGCAATCGAGCCTGGCAGGCCTGCTCCTTCGACAGAGGGTCAGAAGTCCCAGAGTGTAACGATCCGAGGTGTGAGGTTAGCACCGAAGTAGGAAGGTGAATGCCCACGGCATAGCCACATGGCCCTTTCCCAAAGATAGATAAGGCAAATCCATGACAAAGCAACCCCTGCGAGCCGGAGAGTTGAGGCCCTAGGGCCTCGAAGGGGTCCGAAAGCTTCCAGCCCACGTCTGCAAATTCACTTCCCACTTTCCAGAACAGCTTTGACGTAGTAGTCGTAGTAGTAGTAGTAGTAGTAGTAGTAGTAGAAGTAGCAGTAGCAGTAGCAGTAGTAGTAGTGGTAGTCGTCGTCGTCGTCGTGGTNNTAGTAGTAGTAGTGGTGCTAGTAGTACAGTCGGCAGCCGTGCTAGAATTTTGCACAGAGGGACTTCGGAAAGCGTTTGTTTCGCTTCTTGGTGCGCGGCCCATGCATGGGATTTTGTCGGCAGAGCCTTCGACAGGTCAGGAACTCCAGTCACTTGCTCTTTTGTGGGCCAAGCCTTCAACGCGTAGATGATATTACAATGGCTGTCTCGAGTTTTAATGTGGAGTCTTTTAGGATAATAACCGAAGAATCCCACTATCTTCGGCCGCTGGAGCAAAGGATTTTTCTAGTCAAGCGTCTACGTTACTGACTTCGCCGGTTTCAA